GAGAGAGAGCGAGAGAGAGAGAGAGAGAGAGAGAGAGAGAGAGAGAGAGAGAGAGAGAGAGAGAGAGAATCTGTTAGTATAACTTGTACTCTACAAAATGAAATAGATATATATTTAAAATTTCCCAGCAAATGAGAATGGATTGAAATGAATTGAAATGGATTCAGATTTTCAGAAATGTTGATTCATGAATGTTAAAATGAATGCTTTTCAATCCTGAATGCATTTTTATTCATTTACAGGAATTGCATATTTCTGTGCCTTTTAAATTAAAAATAATATTAGCTTTTTCTGATAAATACTGTCAAAATTTTGAATAGACGCAGTTTTTTAATCTAATTGCATCCAATTGAATCTAATCGAATCCAATTAAATCCAATTAAATCCAAAAAAAAGTATTCGCTATTTAAAATACGCATTCGGATAGAAAAAAATTTCAATCCATTTTAATTCATTCGTTTGCTGGGATGTAAAAGCGAAATAACCAGTATTCATAATCAGTTCTTATGGCTAAGATTTAAGTAAGCTAAATCTCAAGTACAGTCTTAAGAATCCATGAATCTATCAGAGAGTTATATTAGTTATATCTCCATTACTTAAAATGGTCTTCAAATACGAATGGACTATGAATACTGCATAGAAAGTTTTAGTGTAATTCAGCGTAGATAAATAGGCTTAGATACATATTTAAAATCAGGCAAAAGCGAGAAAAAGTTTTAATGCAGTTTAGTGTAACGACAAAATTAATAAATCTATTTAAAATTCTAATACAGTTAAGGGAAGCAGGAATAAAACAGGTCTAAAGAATACAGGCCTAATATTACAGAATAACAGATTGAGTTTAAAGGAAGAAGATATACATTATACTTATTTATATATAAATTATATTAGAATAAAATGTATATAGAATAAAATGTTTATAAAGAAATGCTAAAATAATATACGTTTTTAGATGATAATGTCACAATATCAAAATTTATGTTGTTTTAAAAAAAAATATTTTTGTTCAATATTTACCATATATCATAAGCATAAACGCAAACATGGCCTAACAATATTACAAAAAATAATTTAAGACAATCTTTTATATATCGAGAGGATTAAGTTTTTATTTACATATACTTTAGTTAACTTACTTATTATTTTACTCCGTTATTAATGTATGTACTGTAATTTAATTAAAGATCAATCAAGATGACAAACTGCAATTATTACAAATCAATCATTAAAATCTTAACACCAGTGTCGCCAATACGAAAAAATTTCTAAATAATTTAAAAATCTTTAGAAATCTTCAGTTATTTACTAGAAAATTCGAAAATCTCTAATTTTTCATTAAAAATTTTATAACGATTTCTGCCCGACCAAGTTTGCATCACTGAATTACAATACATACTGGAACGTGCACTGCCGTGCTCATGATGGAATTAAGGTGAAATCACATAGTGCGAAAAACGAGAATGCGTCGTAGAAATAATCAATCAGCATTATTCTGCGTTATTTCAAATCATTTTCAATCAATTGCTTATTACTTAAGCTTATTACTTAAGATGATCTTAAATAAGAACTAACTACGGATACCGGTCTTTGATGCATCATGTGAACATAACTTGTGTGATGGAAAAATGCGGAAATGCTAATCAGTTGTTTCAATGATTCTCTATTTCGCAATCATTTTCACCGTGTGATTTTTTACACCTAATATCATCGTAAGTATGAGCAGCACAACAGTTCCGTGTGATTTCATCCTAAAGCTCATATCAGACTGGTGCTTTTCATTTGACAATACAAGTCGACACATTGTTTTATCCTTGTTGACATTCAGAGTTGACAAAGATAGAACGACATTTGTGTTAACTTGTGTCATCAAATGGAAAGCATCCACTACCAACTCTGCAAGCCGACCCGACTGCCAACTCTGATTGCCGATCAATAATGGACAAATCATAATAAGACTAATTCAATGTGATTGATCCATGAAACAGCCAATCAGTGCTATTCCGCACTTTTCCATTACACAAGTTGTCCATCACAAAAGTTCCATCACAAAAGTTTTGTGTGCTATGTTCACATGATGCATCAAAGGCTGATATTCATAATTAGTTCTTATTTTAAGATCATCTTAAGTAATAGGCCAATTGCGGGAAATGTTTTATCGACAATTGTTGCTATTATTAATAGTGACAGTCAATGACGTGTTGTCTTCCAAGATTATCTTGTCATTGATTGTTCGATAAAACGTTTAGAAAATCCTGCTATCGGGGTCCTATTGTGGAATAAAGTTGGAATTATTTTCTTTTCCCCAGAAAATACAATAGAAATCTAGAGAATAATTGAATAATTTCGATCGGAATTCATTCCGACTTTGTTCCATGATAGATGCTTTTATTCTTTTTAACTGGGGACCGATGTGTAATATGTATCACGAAACCTAGTAAATGATAAAGTGAGTGATCTTACTTGATTGAATAGTTTTCATTATAGTGGAAATGCGACATTTCTCACATGACATTGCGCTTAACAAAAGAAATTCTCTCACGTGACATTGCGCTTGACAAAAAAAATTCTATGAAATCGAATTATATATAATAAAAGGTAATTATGTAAAAGCATATCGAGGTTAGTCGAAATTAGTTCAAATTTGTCAAAATCCGTTCTACTTAAAGATACAGATTATTGTTTCCAGTAATCTTATTTTTATGCTTTGTATGGAGAAAAATGACAATGGAAATAATAAAATTCACAAGATATTTAATAAGAATTTAATAAAAAGAATTAAGATCCATTTGAAATCCCAGACAATACATTTAGAAAATTATATAGATTAGTTCAAAATATATTAAGTATATAAATATGTAAATTAAAGATTTCGCGGGTTTCCTCCAATGCCTTCCAAGAATGGATCTGGACTCTCACGAAATGCATAATCTTTATATAGAAAGCACTCGTGGAAGCCTCAAGAATAATATATAAATTATTTAAATAACTAAGGTGATGAAATGGCTTATACGGTTGAAGCAAATCTTTATGTCTTATAATATTTTTTGCATAAATTTTAAAATTTCCAGTTCAAACAAAAATTACGAAATTGTAAGATTGTAAGAAATCATAAAATTTACTTTAAAAATTATTGAACACTAAGATCCACTTGACCATATAGATAATTATTATGTTAGTTATTTGAATAATACACGGTTCATAAATATCCTAATATTAAAATGAATTATATTCTGTTATAAATCATATATATATATATATAGATACACACACACGCGCACACACACACGTCTGTATGCTTATAATGTCACAACAAAGTATTATATATTACTTTGGTTTTTGTATCACTTGCATTTTGCACTTACTCTGTGATTTTTTTTCACTCTCGTAAGCATAGGGATATCGTATTTTCACTATGCTCAATCAATCGCGCGTATTTTTTCACATGAAAGTACGAGAAGTGAGAATATTCGATAATATGCAATCGATCCTCTGAATTTTTGTATCAATTCATCTTTCTTCCTTTTCTCCAAGAAGAAAGAAGAAAAAGAAAGATGAACTAGTGCAAAAATTCAGCCAAAAAAAACAGGTCTAAGTCGCTAATGCGCCCCTCTGAATGGTTTATGACACCTTAAAACTGTACTTAAGACGGTCTTAAATATAAGATCCGACTATGAATACTGGTCAAAAATGCATTCAGGATGAATATAATTTAAAAACTACTAACATTATGTTAATTTGCTTATTAAAATGAAATATAATTTCTCAAATTGCAAAAACAATTATCACTATTGTAGTATTTAATGTTTTAAATCAATATTTACAATGTCATTTGTCAATAATTATTTGAATTGCTTTAACGCATATATTTGCCATAGAGCGGAAATTGGCAATGGAACGGAACTCGCGAAATCAATACAACAAATTACAGCTACTCCGTTTTGTTTCTTATTACATGACGGAAGTTGCGATAGCCAATCAACGTTTCGCTTGCTCGAAAGTAATAGATATAATTTCTACCGCGCGACAAAAGTTGAACTCAATCCAACTTTTGCGCGGCGGAAGTAATATTATCCTTTCTAGAAGTTTTGCATGATGAGATCGATTTAAAAACATAGAATTTATTGATTAGTGCGATAACTTCTGCCGCGCGACAAGCGTTGCCGAGTTCTGTGTGCAGGAACCGTATAAAGGAGCCGTCCCATAAAGCGAAAATTGACAACGAAACGGAACTCGCGGAATTAACACAATAAATCACAGTCATTTTGCTATTTTTGCTATAATTTCACCGTTACAATTTGTGGAATGAATAAAAGTTGCACATAACCTCAACATTATATGCTGTCGATATATTATATATTACAGCCATATAATGTCCATATAATGCGATTGGTTACATACTGGTTTATCTTCTTCATTAATATGGGCACAGTAGCAAAATGTTAATGATTCGATAATTACAGTATATATGAATATAGACATTAATCAGCAAACTACGATTCCGTTTATTTTTTTTTTCTCTTATTTTCTTTCTCCTATTGAGTGGTAAACGCGGAAGCAGAAATCAAATTTCAGTCAATCATGAGATAGTTTTACGACTATGTTAAAAATTAGGTGTACAACTTTGCTTCCGCCGTTTTCCTATAAATGGCTTTAGCGGTAAGTGGTGGTCGAAATAAATAGATCATAGACGTCATACAATAAACTTGGGCATCTATCAACATAACCCCATAGAAACATTAGTCGATTTGTGTCTGCATCATAAAGTTATTCTCGATTGAAAATGTCAGTTTACGAGCCAAATTCTCGTAATTTGCGGGAGGTTTTAATTTTTTGCTTCAATATGAAGAAATCTGCAGCTGAGGCTCGAATGCTCTCAAATACTTATGATGAGGCCGCTATTAGTGAAAGAACGTATCGTGAGTGGTTTCAACGCTTCAAGAACGGTGATTTTGACGTCCAAGGTCATGCTCTGTATTTGGTGAGACCAGCTCGGCGTAGTGTATTATGAACTGTTAAAACCGACTGAAACAATCGCAGGCGGTCGGTATCGAACGCAATTGATGCGTTTCAGCCGAGCATTGAAAGACAAACGACCGCAATACAACGAGAGACACGATAAAGTGATTTTGCAGCATGACAATGCTCGACCCCATGTTGCGAAAGTGGTCAAGACATACTTGGAAACGTTGAAATGGGAAGTCCTACCCCACCCGCCGTATTCTCCAGACGTTGCTCCCTCTGACTATCACTTGTTTCGATCAATGGCACACGGCCTGGCTGACCAGCACTTCCGGTCTTATGAAGAAGTAAAAAATTGGATCGATTCGTGGATAGCCTCAAAAGATGACCAGTTTTTTCGACGCGGGATTCGTACGCTACCCGAAAGATGGGAGAAAGTAGTGGCCAGCGATGGACAATACTTTGAATCATAAATGTATAACCAGTTTTTTACAATAAAGCCTCGAATTTCGGAAAAAAACGGCGGAAGCAAAGTTGTACACATAATATTTTTTATTTTATTTTATTATTTTATTATATTATTTTATTTTATTAATATTATATTATGTTATTATATTATATTTTTATATTTATATAAAAAATGCATTTATTAAATGCATTTTTATACAAAATGAATCTGAAATACTTTTTTCAATACAACATATTTTCAACCATTATGCATATGTGTCCCAATCGTATCACCTTTTAAGGTGAAGCAAATGGAGCGCACTCGTAATTAATCCATGGACCTCGCAGATTCGGCAAGGTTTTCAAAAGATTGAAAAATCTCGAAAGATCTGTTGTCCTCAGAAGGGAAAAAAGAGAGAGAAGGAATTGCGGGCCAAAGAAGAATTGGCCAAAGTGGCAGAGTAAGAAGGGGAAGGAAATTCAAGATCTAGGGATGGAAGGGAGGAAGGATCGTCCTCGGTTAAGTTCATCACAAGAATTGCTGAGGGAAGCTCCTTCCTAATAACTGGAGTTTTATGGGCCTTGTTCAATTGAGCGCGGTCCTCTTCTGAGATGAAAATTCCCTGAATTTTCACAATTATCGCCCTTTTTTCTTAAATGTTTCGATTTTATCTCGATTTTTAAATTAATGAAATTTAAATGTTAGTATATCATACAAGTTTCCAATATCCATTTGGAAGTATAAAAATACTACTAGTGTCACTGCAGTAGTATTACTACTGAAATAATATCAATGCTAAGTCAGTAGTGTTACTACAATAGCATATGACGACATATGACGTAACATAGAAATTTTT